GAAAAGAATGGCTTTTTTTTTCAAATTAGTATTCTACATGAGGAGATTATGTTGTGTGCAACAGGTTTTTTGTTTTCCTTTTTTGTTGGAGTTAAGCATTAAGTATTAAAGTATCATCTGTTCATCTTCAGTCATATGGCTCGATAAGCCTGGTATTTGCTCAGTGGTGATAATGAATATATTTGCATGCACATCGTTTACTGTGCTTTTTGATTATAATCAAAGCATCAGGCACAAATTAAGAACTGTACATTTCCTATATTTGTTTTGCAAGATATATCATGTTATAAAGCAGCCAGTTTCCAAGAACTAGGTAGAAGAGTGCACTTCTTATTTCTGGTATTGACTTACTGTTTTCCTGCAACTGAAGTGAAAAGGTGAAAAACCGGCTCACAGTGGCAGTCAGTTTATCTCACCTCATGGTGAGGGCTGTAAAGGTTTCCTGGATCCCTTCTACAAACCTCTGCTGCCCACCTCCTGTAAGTGGTTTTTTTTTCAGAAACCTGAAAGTCCTGCTTAGGACATGTGAAGCATGGAATCAGGCTCTACAACTCAGAGAGAGTTATAAAGCAGGTATGTTTATTACGGCTCCAGGTGCAAGCGGGATTGCTCCTCCTAACTTGCACACCGAGGGGTTAGGCAAAAAGCAGATATTTATTACACACAAACATACATATTCATTAGGTTCCCCAGAGTTTGGCAGGGATATTACAATTAGTTTAGGTACTCATTATCATACGTCTCCTCCCTTTTGGCGCTTGCACACTGCCCTCCGAGGGTCGTGGGCAGGGGTCTTCAAGATGAAGTAAGCAGTCTTCCTCAGGGTGCACTTTTCACCTTTAGCACAGGTGGATGTCCCAGTAATCACAAATTAGCTGAAACCAACCGTATCTGCAAGTTTCTATAGCTGGCAAAGATTTAAACAGTGTGACCTTCTATACAAAATTTATTGCCTCCCAAGCTAGCAGATGTTCAGGAGTCACTGTCTCCAAACTAACTGATAATTAGAAGGATGGTAAGAAATACTTCACACATTAGAAGGATGAAAGGAAACAATTCACTCTTGTTAGTCAGACTACTAAATTCTGTTATCACACCACAGACTTACAACACATTGTTCTCCATCTTAGACCTAAGTTAAGTTAAAAGTATTTTAACCCTATGTTTTCCACGCACTTGCTTTCCTTATATCACTTGCAGCTGCTCATGCTGACTTTGGGAAAATTATCGTCTTTTGAAAGATTATGTTTATCCTTCTGGTCCATGTTAAAAAACAGGGATCTTTGGAGTTTAAAAAAGCCCAAGACATTTGATTTTAAACACTTTATTAATAGGTGTTTGTCCTTGAAACTACAGAGGCCGATCAGCCACCACCCCGCTCCACCTTGGTTGGAAAAGATCTTTAAGATCATGAAGTCCAACCATTACTCCAGCACTGCGAAGGCTACCACTAAACCACATCACTGAGGGCCTCATCTACACGGTGTGTGAATACTTCCAGAGATGGTGACTCCGCCACTGCCCTGGGCAGCCTGTTCCAATGCCTGAGCACCCACTCTGTGAAGAACTTTTCCCTAACAGCCAATCTAAACATCCCCTGGTGCAGCTTGAGGCCGTTTCCTCTTCTCCTGTCACTTGTTACTTGGGAGATCACCCAGCTCCTGGCTACATCCTCATTTCAGGTTGTAAAGAGTGTAAGAATGTAAAGAGTGATAAGGTCCCCCCTGAGCCTTCTCTTCTCCAGACTAAACAACCCCAGTACCCTCAGGCATTGCTCATAAAACATGTGCTCTAAAGCCTGACATAGCTTTATCTGGAAACTGGTGTTGGGAGTGAAGTCCACTTCCCGTTTCTGATAATCTGCTTGCACTTTTTACTAAAAGCTTACATTACAGCAAAAGCAGGTCTAAAGGTAATAGCACTGAGAAAAGGACAAGACTGGTAATAGGCATCTTAAACACTGGCAGCCTGCCATGCTTGCAGCACAGCTACGTGACCCATCAGTATGAACAGTGATAAGCAAACAGTAACAGGCTGTGCTAGTTCTGCGTGAAGCTGTGTTGACTATAATATATTGTTAAATCTCATCATAAAGTACAGGCTGAAATAGGAGACCCAGGAAGGCACAACATGAAACCACCCATGCTCCAACAGCCTGCTTGGCCTATTGCAGCCTCCAAAGGCTGCTGAAAGTCTTCTCCTTTCACAAAGTTGGGGGCAGAAGAACCTTTCCTCACCTCTCCTCCAAAGAGGTGTTGTTTTATCTTGGAAACTAATGCTTACTTGTGGAGGTGTGCTGAGCCTACAGCTGCTTTTCAGATCCTGGTGCGGGAGACAGCATCAGCAGGGCACCGTGGAGGCAGCGCGTTCTGCTGTAACATGGCACACAAATAGTTAACATTGTAAAACTGTGTTTCAAGTTGTTGTTTTGGGGCGGTTTTTGGTGCTTGGAGGACATTTGAAAAGCAGATGTTTAAAACAGGAGCCGAGGTTGTTTTAACCTCCACCCTCCAACCTGCGCTTGACCCAACGAGGGTGACCGCCATGCCGGGAACCCGCCACCAGCTGACGGGAACAGGAACCGGCGCCTTCCTCAACAGCGCTGCGGGGCCCCCCGCTGCGGTTTCCCTATGCAAAGCCGCCTCTCGGAGCTCCTGCTGGGCCAGCGCTGCGACTACATCGAGGAACCGCTGCGGCGGGCGGAAGAAAACACCCATTGCCAGATTACTGTTAATTGTTTAATTGTTCCTTTCCAGTTGTCCTCCCTCCCCTCGCAGTTCCCCAGCGGAGAGCAGGCGGCAGGTGAAAGCCCAGCCCCGGCGGCACCTCCCCGCAGCGAGGCCACAACCGTGGGGGCTTCAGGCTGGGCCGAAGGGCGAGCAAAGCCCTGCCGTTACCCGTGTCCCCCCCGCCGCCCCGGTGTCCCCTTTGGAGGGGCGCTCCTGCGCCCTTCAGTGCTCCGTTGGCGTGAGGAAGAGGAGGCAGCGGCACCAGCGGCCCCACGGGAATGCGCGGGCACGCGTAACAAAGGGACGCGTCCCCTTTAAGCGCTTCCCCCAGCCCTTCCACATGGTATACAGAAGGGGCGGGGACTGCTCGGGACGTCACTTCCGCTTCTTTCGCAGCGGAGGGGACTAGCGTGTGAAGCGGGACGTAAGTGTTGGGGTCCGTGTGTGGCTCCATCGGGGTCGGCGCCAGTTCCTCCCCCCCCTCCCCACCTCTGTCGCTGACTGCTGATTCCTTGGTAACCCCGGCGGGCGCAGGGGGTGGAAGTCGCGCCCGGTTAGCCATGTGGTGGTCAGGGTTCCCCTTTTCCTCGAGTGCCTGCTGTGCCCCGCGGGAGGGATGCCCCGCTCTGCAGCAGGCCAGGGGCGGGAGGAGAAGCTGCCATGTTGAGGGGGCAAAGAGGATTTGAGTGAGGGAGAAAATGGCGGCGGAGAGCTGCCTGGCTACGGCCCCCCCTCCCCCCCGCTGCGAGATTTGACCCTGCTCGCTTGAAGACCCCTGACCTTTTTCTTTTTGTGCTGCCTTTTCTCCACTTCCTCGCTGGTGACGTGCAGCCTGCTTGCTGCCACCCTGCCTCGGGAGAGCCTGGGCGTCCTTGCCTGTGCCCCTCTGTTCAGGCCCTCGCTGCTTTCCCCCGGGGGGCAACACGAGCCATAGAAAAGAGGAATAGGGGAGGAAAATGGCGGCTGGGATCCGCCTACCTGGTGTTCCTAGCTCGCCCTGGCTTGTCTTCTCTGTCTTTTCCCCTCGTCCTCGTTTGGCCCGTCTCATTCCGCCCTCGCTCTCCCCGGTGCTTGAGTGTTTCGTCACTCTGCGCCTGCCAGTCTCTCCTGAGGGACCCCTACCACCCCCCATTGATTTTTACCCTCCAGTTTCCGCCCCCACCTTCCTCCATGTTGTCGCTCCCTCATCTGGACCCTGGAGTTGTTCACTGCCGCTGCACTCGCCCCACCGCGTGTCTGTATGTTCTCATTCGGCTCACCCGGTTTCGTGTCCTCGCTGTGCTTTTTTACATTGTCCCATTGCAGCTCTCCTCTGCCTCCCTCCTGCAGCGTGGCTTAGTTGTGCTTCCCCGTGCCCTGTTTAATTTGCAGTGCTACAGCTTCCACCATCGTGCTTGAAGATATTACGGCAGAAATTACCCTTCTTTAGAATCACGCTGATCCATTATCATTATTTAAATTCAATTTTTTCTAATTTGCATATGGATTTTTCTCTACCAATTTAAAAACACCACTATTCTTTTTTATTTTTTTTCCCCTAAGCTATGCTTGTTTAATCTTTTGTTAGCCTTTCCTAGCTGTAGTTATTTTATACAGTTTCTTTCAGGGATGCTTATTTTTATTGTGAAACAACAAATGAGCTATTTACTTGTTACAGAGAGTAGCAGGCAAGATGTATGGCTGCTATATTTAACCACGTTTGCATACTAGAGAGATACAGAAGCACACCTGGTGGCATGCCTTCGAGGAAGGCTGAATGCCCTCTTGTTTGCAAATAAATAGACTCTAGTGTCTGATGCGTTGAAGCTGCAGTGGAAATATTAATTGCAGTACCGTAGTTCACTGTAACTGAGGTGTTTTTTTCAGACTTTTGTCTTATTGGTGGGAGGTTTAGCTTTATGTGTGACGATTATGTGTCACGTTGCTTGCAAATCCAGCTGGTGAAATGGATGTGTAAGAGTAGAGATAATGCTAGGGGGCTTAATAGTTTATATTTGTGAATATAATGTAAGGAGTTCAACTGGAGGAAAATATTTTATTGTATTTTTTTACGTTTTGGTTTCTGCCATATCTAGGTGTATGTGAAACTGGTGAAAAATTGTCTCTTTGTAAATCACTTGGAAACAAAATCACTGCATTTAATGCAGTTGCGCCAAAAAGAGGAAGAGGTATCAACAGGAAGAGCGTTTGATATTGCATCTACAGTGTGTATTAAAACTTGTATAAAAAGGCAAGAAAGTCTTTAGAAGAGTTTTAGAGAAGATGAGCCTTTACAAACAGGTTTGCAGATGGCTTTTCAGCCATAAAGGGATATAGTTCTTTTGCAGGGTTCTAATGTTATTTTTCTCTTCCTAGAATGCCTAAATCAAAGGAACTTGTGTCGTCAAGCTCATCTGCCAGTGATTCAGATAGTGAAGTTGACAAAAAGGTGAACATTATGTGTAGTTTATTACTACTGTATTAACTCGTAGATTTTAGGCTGGTCTTAAGGAATTAGGTGAGCATTATGTCACAACATGCATGTCATTCCATGTGATTTGTCAGGCACCTAACCCAAAACACTGTCTCTTGCACCCTAACATCACCCAAGAACTACAACAGCAGCAAAAAAACTCCTCCACCTCCCAAGATCAGGGTTTGGGTGTATAGGATGCTTTCTGCCTTGCAGTAAACTTTTTTTCCTTAAGTTTTGCTCTTGTCAATGTTTTTGATGTGATACATCTAACTGTAAGCTTTCTGGAATTCTTTGCTGCTTTGTGGCATGTGATAGCAGGCTTCTGTGGCCCTGGTGGCAAGAATTTGGACTAATTCTGAAGACAAAGATAACACCCCCGTGCCTGCCTCATTCAATTTGGTATCCAGATTACTTGTCCAAACCAAAAACCGTCACTTGCCCTGTCCTCCATGTGTTGCTTGCTTATCTTATTTGCATGTTCTTTTTCTGTTTCAGATTCTTACATTTACCATCTGCTAGCTCCTCACTTAAAAGCTGAACTGAAATTGATGTTTTAGAGATTATTAATTTTAACATGCTGACTGTTACATGAATTCTGTGTTCCCATTTATGTTTAACGGTTACTTAATTTATAAGCTTGTATAGATGTACCAGTCATTATGAACAAAACCAGAAAAAACTGAATTTATCTTAAGAAATGCAAGGTTACAATGCAGAAATCGGGTCTTTTAATGTAGTGTATGAAAAGAATCTGCTTTATTGAATTGGTTCAAATGTGACTTTGTTGCACTTTGCAAGTTAGGTGTTCTGTGAGATCTTAATAGAAGAGGAAACAAGCTGGTGAATTTATTTTTTGATAAGGAACTGAATTCCTGACAAGACAGAGCCTAGCTGCTTTCGTGGGCAGTGAAGTGGTGGTGTTTTGGCTTGGTGTATCATTTTCCCCTTCTCCACCCAATTTAAGCCTTCCGTACTTGCTGGAATTTTTTTGTCTTTAAAGGCCGTTATCCTTAGTATGATTCTAGCACGTAAGACTAGCTTTTGGTATCTTGGTCTTACTCTTTTTTTGGGAATGGACATAGTTACCATATAACCATTAGTAGAAATAGAGACTTTGTAGCATCCGTGGGTAATCAGATTTACAGCCCCAATGATTTAAAGACATTTTATTTATTGTGCTATGGACAGAGATTCAACACTGACTTAATTAAAAAAAAAAATAAATTATTACTCTGAAGATGGTTTCCAGCTTTTTCTTCACTATCTCATCTTTTTTTTTTTTTTTTTTTTTTTTTGGAAGAGTTTTTTAAGCTGTCCTGCATTTTTTGTGCTACTCGGTGGAAAGGAAGGTGAAACTTCTGTCAGACTTTAAATTTTTCATTAAAAGTACTAACTGACAGCCTTATTGGACAGAAAGAGTAGGATATTTGAAATGTGTTTTGATCTAGTTCAGTTCTCTTTAAAGACGAAGTATTATGGTGAGCTTCTCTGTGAACAGAATTAAAGTCATTTGAATAATTTATTTTTAATTAAATTCCAGTCTAAATGTACAGTATTGCATTCCTGCATTCACAGGAGGAATGTGATAATGTGCATTGCGTAGTAGTAGTTTGTGACCATTGGCACGAAGTTTTCTGTAACTTATGAGTTGTGGTTCATGCTTTTTTTTTTTTTTTTTGTTATTCTTGTTCCAAGGCAAAGAGGAAAACACAAGCAACTCCAGAAAAACCTGTAAAGAAACAAAAGACTGGAGAAAGTTCAAAAGGTGCTGCAGCTTCTTCTAAGCAAAGCAGTACCACAGATGAAAATATGTTTCAGGTAAAATTGATGACTCTTAGAGCCTGATTAACATGTTGTGTCATAATCAGGGTAAGTTTTATGAGGTGCTCTGAATATTTTGGGGGCACAGTGCTTGGTCTCCTGAAGCCTTTACTGAAGGGGATTGCAATGGTAGCATGCAGATGAGATGCTCAAAAAAGGAGTTGTCAGGTTTCAGCAGAGTAAAAAGTATCTGAGTTGTAGCAGTTGAGCTGACCCCTGTGTCTTTGCCTATGGTTAATTCTGGGTAGTCATTTTGTTGGTAAATACAGCACTTACATGCTTTAAATGTTAGATCAGGACTTGTCTCTACATAGAAATGTTTTTTATTCAGGACTCTAGAAAGAAAGGTTCTTAGAAACCGAAGTAGGGACTTTCTGTTCCCATTTATCTAGGTCAAGGGCAGTTTCGCTCCTTATAAGACAGTGTCTTGGACTAAGTTTTGCTTGTTCCTTTGTTTTATGATTCAGGGGTTTGGATTTTTTTTTGTGGGATTTTTTGTTTTGTTTTTTTGTTTTGTTTTTTTCTTTTTGTTTGTTTTTCCTACTGATCTTCCAGAAAGATTGTAATTTATTGTCCTTGTATTTAAGATGTACAGTTCAAGGTGAATGTATATTTCTCAGTGGCAAGATGCATTTGCGAAGTCAGTGTGTTTGTAGTTCCGGCGGTTGGCCAAGGCAACAGCAGTGTGCTAAAAGCTCTGTGCATCAATATACATGGCTTGGAATTACCTGTTTTATGGTTATGGATCATGACTTACTAAATGTCTCTGAGTAGCAGCCTAGAGAAAGGAACTTAGAGACTTTGATTCTTAAGTTTATGAAAGGGTATGAGAGAGGTGCCTAATAAGATGGCACCGACACTGAGTAAGGCAAAATAAATGGTTTTGGGCTGCAGCTGTGCAAAGTGATGTGGCACAGCCTCGGCTCCCTCCCCCCCCCCCTCCCCCCCCAACAGTCTTTTCTGAGCGAAGATCTGCTTAACACTGTAATACAGGATTTTTTTTTAATATATATATAATTTTTCTTTGAATCAGCTCTCACTTTCCTCTTCATATATATCTGGGAGAGAGAAGTTCAGTTGAAGGCAATGCCTGGACTTCCTCATCAAAGGAAGAATATAATGCTTCTGGCTCTCCTGGGGCATGTTTTGAGCCATGCCAGAAAAAATGAGATCATGTCTTCTACGCATTATGAGGTGAATTGCAGTTAGAACTCAAAAAAGCTATGTATAAGCTTTATGCCAAGTTTGTAATAAGTTCAGAAATTCCAGATTTGGAGAAAGATGTTTAAATTTTTAACTCTCCCTGATGCAAAAAACCCAAAATCCTTTCAGATAAAAGCAAAAGTATTTGCGTGCTCTGATTTCTTTCAATCTTTTTGACCTAAGACAATAAAAAGTTACTAAAAACAGACAGCAGGGGACTCCTGTTAGTCTAACAGGATTCTTCCAGTGTTGAGTGCAATATAGAAAAAATATTTTGATAATCATCTTGACCTAAAACATCAGTGTTACTTAGTTTCTGCCTGCCTTTCAGTTAGTGGACAACAAAAGTTTTTTTTTAGATCGCTTATTGTATTATGTGAAGCTTGGTGAATTTTTTCATACTACATCAGCTTATGTGTGTTAACTAGGATGTAACTGTTAAAAGTACAAACAGCACTGTAGGTCTAGGGATACTACACCTCTCTCCCTCCACCCCAGGAGGGCATGCTAGAAGATCTAGATTTGTTTTACTGTTTTGGGTTTGTTTTTTTTTTTAGGTATTTTGTTTGTTCTAGGGCTGCTACTAGTATAAGAAGGTTTCCTTTTTGCTTTGCTATGGCAGTAAAATCGTGTCTGATATGCAAGGGCAGTGTAACTTACAAGTGTGGCTGCATTTGATGGAGATCAGGCTGTAAAGCATTCGTAGGACAGAAATTCTTTAATTCCGTATTGTGTGTGGGAGTGGCACCAAATGATGGGAAACTTAAAGGCTTTTTATTCTGTACCCTGAAGTATACAGCTTTCCTTCATATAGAGCTCATTGTGACTGCTGTATTCAGAAGATTCAGCGTTTTCATCAAGATGTGCATTTTACAATTTTTTTTGTTTGTGTCTAATGTTGGTGTGATGGTATTTTTTGAAACTACTTATGGAGAATACCATAAACGTAAGTTGGAGAGAATTATTTCAATATAAGAGACCAAGTGTATTTTGTTTATTTAGATGTATTGGTCTTTCTGGGTTTTATAGTTAGCCTAGTATACTTTGGAATTTCTTGAAGGATTTAGGTGCAGTTGTGTTGTGGATATTTATCTTACTCCTTTTTGTGATGTATTAGTGGATGCCCAAAGGACAAGTGTTATTCATGATTATGTGGAAGGGTTTTGTGTTGATACATTGGATTCCTGTCTGTGACTTCAAGCCAACATGAGCTCTGCATCATGTTCTTTGGTTAGTTTGACAAATCCTGTCATCTACCTGTGCCTGATTTGGATAAGGTTTTTAATGCTGTCAGTATGTGTTATTAATGACTACCCAGAGTGGAACCACATTGCATGATCACATTCAGTGAAATTATTACTTCAAAAGTTGTCTGTGAGTTGTTCTGCCTATTCCCCCCTCTCCTTTCTCTCATATATGTATGTGTGTGTGTATATATGTATATATATAATTTTTTTTTTAAATTTGGGTTTTATTTGCTTTGTGACTTGTGAAAAATAAGTTCGTCAGTTTCCCAGTGTAATGTCTTTATCATATTCTGACAGTAGAGAAATATAAATTTGTGATGCTCTGGAAGGGTCATTGGTTTAGCACATTAATTCTGAAGCTTAGGTGGTCACTGATGTGTACCACAATCAGTTTGCTGTGTTGCAGATCTCACTGTTTACAGGATTTTTTTATTGTGCTCTTCCTAATGCAGTACATGTAGTTATCACCTAAGAAAGAGGGGTGTTTTTTGGCCATTTCTACTTAATCAAGACAAACTGGAAATGGGAAAAGTGGTGAAGAAGGTTGTTGCTGAAGCTCATAACAGGAAGTCCGTTCCATTGAAAGGAACCGAGATACAGTTCAGTGCCTTTTATTCAAAGAAATAGAAACCTGGAAACAATGCTTTCAGTGTCTTCTGGTGTATGTAATTCAATGTAATATGTAATAAAAAAGCATCAAACTTGTCTATGAAGGTTGAACTGCAGTAACTATGCTGCTAAATCAGTACAACCCATGGAACACCACGGTGATTATAGAGATACAAAGATGTCTTGGATCAGAGAAATTATCCTAGCACTATCAGCTGCTGTGTGGAAAATGAATTGGTCAGAAATTATTCAATGCCAGGAGGGAGGGAAGCATTGTGTGTAGTACTACTTAAAGCTGATCTTAGAGGTGACTTTAAAAGTCACTGATGCATTAAAGTGTAAAACCGAGAAATGTTGTTCATGTAGGCTATTTAGGATATTCTTTGCCAGCAGCGCTGGTGGACTTGGGCATGGTACCAAATTTGGTCTGAAAGAACTCTTCTATCATGACATTGTACCCTATTTTTTAATATTAAATTTGTGAACGTATTTAATAAATCACTCAAAAAAATACTAATCTTATAAACTGTAAGATCTTGTTCCTTTTAAAGGGTGGTTTGAAGCAAGAAAACTGCTTCAGGCTTATAGTATCTAAAGATGTCCTAATGGTTTTAAAATCAGTTTCAGAGTTAATGATCTACGTAAGAAAAATTGCTTTAAGCAAACACAAAGCATTTTTCTTTATATCTATTTTATGAAATGCAGATATGTGTGGGCCCTTTAAAATCGTATCAAAATGCAAGATGCATCAGCTAGTGAAACTGAAAATTAAAGTGAAATGTTTTAATAGGAAGTAGTATTCTGTTTTAAAACTGTTTACTTTAGAATGTGTTCTTTCCTCATAAAAAGTATCCAGGTGTATACAGAATTTAAAGAGTTTTTTGTGTGAATTGTATTTGATTGTGTTTTTATTATCCAATTCCTGATTCTCAGATTCACATTGTACTTTGAATTTATGTTAACAAATTTTTTTTTTTTTTTTTTAAATCAGATTTGGAAAGATCTTTAATAAGCCTAAACATGTAGTGTGATATATAGTTGTCAGTATGAGTTGTCCCTGCTCCCTGCTCTTTGCATCCTCATAACTCAAGCCATTGTGGTGCAGAAATTTGAAATTCCAAAGTCATTTCATACAATGCTACATATTGGTAAACTTAAAGGATTTGAATATTTCCTTTGGGATACCTGGTAGAGATAGTCTTTTAACCACAGTTCCCATGAGAAGTGCCATGAGGACTTGGGAGTGGGCATGGGACAGCTGGTTAACTTTCACTTCCATCTGTATTTACTGTATTTTAAAAAAGAAAAAAACCAAACAACCCCAAACCAAAAACCTCTAAAATTGCGGTTATTACATGTGAGTATCTAACTTGCTTTCTGTACGCATGAAACTGACTAAAAGCTGTTTTGGAGGAGAGCTCCCTCTTTCCCTGTTTGTTTACAGCTGCTGCAAATGAAGGTGGTTGTAAAATTTTATTTCAGCAAAATTTTAGAGACAGACTTTATTTCAGCAAACACTTGTATTTTATTTTTTTTAAGGCAAAATTTTATTTCCACAAATTATACAGTGAATTAGTGGCTTTTGTAAGAAGTAAGCATGTTAAAAGTATAGGTATTTTTGTTGTAGGAGAGCTATTTTTGCATTAAGCTTTGAGCGCTCAACTAATTTGAAGTTATTTATTAGCCTACTGACTACTCTGGATTAAGCTTTTTATCTAGTTGCTTCTCTGCTGTCTAAAATAAGCTTGCAGTGTGCAATGTCACGTGTTAGATCCTGATACTGCTGTGAAAAGTGAATGCTGTAATACGTAAAATACCTGAAATGCCCTTATATGTGTTTTGACAGATTGGCAAAATGAGATATGTCAGTGTTCGTGACTTTAAAGGGAAAGTCTTAATTGATATTAGAGAATATTGGATGGATCAAGAAGGTGAAATGAAGCCTGGCAGAAAAGGTATTGTTCTGCTTTGTGTTACTTTGTATTAAAATGTTGTCTGCAGTTTGCTGGAGTGCTTTGTATATGAAATCTTTATACTTTGTTGCTGCATTGTTTTTCAGTTTACTTTATCATTTATATTTGAAAAATGATTAGTTTTGTCTGCAGATTATACACAAAAGCAAATTGGGTTTGTTGTCTTGAATCTGTTTTTCTGAAATGGATTCTCCATGACTTATGGAAAACAAAGCATCAAATACAAACAAATTCAGTGTGGGATTTACATCTGTAGCTGTACACACCCTACTCCACCACCCTGATTAAATTGATGCAGTTTTTCTTTTATTATAATTTCATACCTTTTTTTCAAAATTCACTGAAAAAAATTAACCTACTCATTTGTGATAAGATTCTAATTTCTTTTAAACAATGCCCTTCAATTTCTATCAAATTTTAATTAAGACATTTGATATGATTAATTTTGGAAAAAATGAGTAAAGATTTTAGTTGAGGTGCAAATACCTCGGGTGTTCACTGTGCTTCTAATTTGCAGCACAGCATAAGCCATTTTACCTTTGTCACTCCCATGCTAGCTTTTTATGGCGTGCCTTCACTGAACAGTTCTCAGAGCTTTGCCACCTGCAGCGTGAGGGCACAAGGACAGTTGGGAGTAGAATCATAGAATACTTAGGGTTGGGAAGGACCTTACGATCATCAAGTTCCAACCCCTGTGCCAGGGGCAGGGACACCTCACACTAAACCATGCCACCCAAGGCTTCATCCAGCCTGGCCTTGAACACTGCCAGGGATGGAATATTCACAGCTTCCCTGTGCAACCCATTCCACTGCCTCACCACCCTTACAGTAAAGACCTTCCTCCTTATATCCAATCTAAACTTCCCCTGTTTAAGTTTTAACCCGTTACCCCTTTTCCTGTCACTACAGTCCCTAATGAATAGTCCATCCCCAGTATCCTTATAGGCCCCCTTCAGATACTGGAAGGCTGCTGTGAGGTCTTGTCGTGGTTTAAACCCAGTCAGGCAACTTGTTCACTCACTCCCAGTGAGTGGTGCCGAGCTGACAACAATCAGGGCTCCCCCCTTCCCCGCTCCCGGAGGAACGGGGAGGAGGATCGAAAGCGTGCAACTCCTACAGGTGGAGACAAGAACAGTCCAGCAACCAATGTACAACACAAATCACCACTGCTACCATCAACTACAACAATGATAAGGGAAAATAACAGGGGAAGAGAATACGATACCACCGGCCAAGAAATGAGTCCCACCCGGAAGACCGTGTCCTTCCGAGTAACTCCCAGTTGCCCCCCACCCTGGGCATGACATGCTGTGGTATGGAATACCTCCTTGGCTAGCCTGGGTCAGGCGCCCCGTCTCCGCTTCCTCACAGCTTCCCCTCCTCCCTGGCAGAGCATGAGCCTCACAAAGTCCTTGGTCAGGGTAAACATCACTTAGCGACAACCGAAAACATCGGTTTCACCACCATTGCTCCCAGGATGGAAGTCAAAACACAGCACTGCACCAGCTAACACAAAGGAGAAACATGACTGCTACTGCCGAACCCAGGACAGGTCTCCACTCAGCCTTCTCTTCTCCAGGCTGAACAGCCCCAACTTTCTCAGCCTGTCCTCATATGGGAGGTGCTCCAGTCCCCGATCATCCTCGTGGCCCTCCTTTGGACTTGTTCCAACGGTTCCATGTCCTTTTTATGTTGAGGACACCAGAACTGCACACAATACTCCAAGTGAGGTCTCATGAGAGCAGAGTGGAGGGGCAGGATCACCTCCTTAGACCTGCTGGTCACGCTCCTTTTGATGCAGCCCAGGATACAATTGGCTTTCTGGGCTGTGAGCGCACACTGCCAGCTCATGTTCGTTTTCTCATTGACCAGCACCCTCAAGTCCTTCTCTGCAGGGCTGTTCTGAATCTCTTCTTTGCCCAACCTGTAGCTGTGCCTGGGACTGCTCTGACCCAGGACCTTGCACTTGGCATGGTTAAACTTCATAAGGTTGGCATCAGCCCACCTCACAAGTGTGTCGAGGTCCCTCTGGATGGCATTCCTTCCCTCCAGCGTATCAACCAAACCACACAGCTTGGTGTCATCGGCAAACTTGCTGAGGGCGCACTCAATCCCACTGTCCCTGTCACTGACAGATGCTGAACAAGACCGGTCCCAGCACCAATACCTGAGGGACAGCACTTGTTACTGGTCTCCAGCTGGACATTGAGCCATTGACCACAACTCTTTGTGTGCGGCCATCCAGCCAGTTCTTTATTCACCGAGTGGTCCATCCATCAAATTGATGTCTCTCCAATTTAGAGACAAGGATGTCGTGTGGGACAGTGTCGAATGCTTTGCACAAGTCCAGGTAGATGACATCAACTGCTCTACCCCTGTCCATCAGTTCTGTAGCCCCATCATAGAAGGCCACCAAATTGGTCAGGCAGGATTTCCCCTTAGTGAAGCCATGCTGGCTGTCACCAAGCACCTTGTTGTTTTTCATGTGCCTTAGCATGCCTTCTAGGAGAATCTGCTCCAAGATTTTGTCAGGCACAGAGGTGAGACTGACAGGTCTGTAATTCTCTGGGTTGTCCCTTTTCCCCTTCTTGAAAATGGGGGTTATATTTCCCTTTTTCCAGTCATTGGGAACTTCACCTGACTGCCATGGTTTTTTAAATATCATGGAGAGTGGCTTAGCAACTTCATTCGCCAGCAAGTTCATTTGCCAGCTCCTTCAGGACCTGTGGATGGATCTCATCACGTCCCATGGACATGTACACATTCAGATTTTTAAGATGGTCTCGAACCAGTTCCTCTCCTACAGTGGGCCCAAGGTCTTCATTCTCACAGTCCCTGCATCTGCCTTCCAAGACTTGGGTGGTTTGGTCAGAGCCTTTGCCAGTGAAGACTGAGGCAAAGAAGTCATTCAGAACCTCAGCCTTCTCCAAATCCTGTGTAGCCAGTTCTCCCGAGAGCTTCCTGAGGGGACCTACGTTGTTGCTAGTCTGTTTTTTATTTGCTATGTACCTGTAGAATCCCTTCCTGTTATCTTTCACATCCCTAGCCAAGTTTAATTCTAACTGGGCCTTAGCTTTCCTAACCTGGTCCCTAGCTTCCTGGACAACTTCCGCGTATTCTTCCCAGGCTGCCTGTCCTTGCTTCCACCTTTTATAAGTCTCTTTTTAATTTTGAATATTCCTCTGCAGCTCCTTATCCATCCAAGGAGGTCTCCTGGCCCTCCTGCTGCACTTCTTTCTAGTTGAGTAGCAATGCTTAAATTAATTTCATACTGCTTCTGTTAGAAAAGCCTACTTTTAAATGGTTTCCATGCTGTGCGAAGTAAAGAGGTAAGTATGAAACATTCTGCTATGGAGACTCTAGACATTTTATGTACAATCAATGTAAGGTTTGTCACATTCTTCTGATGCGTCCTGGGGCAACTCAATGAACAGACGTTTGGAAAGCTTGAGAAGCATTTTCATAATTTCTTAGATGACCACTGAGAATAGGTTTGTATGAACAGGTGCAGTGGTATGGTACAGGAAAATACCTTGGTTTGGATTTGTTATTGCTACTTAACAAAAAAGATGTCTTTGTCTTCTAAGGACTTTAACCTGCTGTGTTTTGAGGTGGAAGTCAAAAGTGTATGCAGTTTGAGTGGCAGACTACAGTGAAATTTGATGGGTAGGCCAAGTGACAAGAATTACACGATAAGGTAGAAATGTGTATCTATGTGGCAAAAGGGTCTGCATTCTATTAAAATAGAATACTTAGGTACTTAGAAGCTGCTTACCTAGTTATCCTAAACACGGTATAAGCAGTTGAAATTGTGTAATAAAAGTCTGTTTAAATTATTGTGTCAGATTGTATAAAACAGCAGATCTGAACTGCATGCAATTCATCTAGTATGTGGTTCAGGGACATTTGGTTCCCTAAAGTGGTTAATGCATCTGGTCTAAATTTTTTCTAAAGAAACCTGCCCACTAAAGACTGGTGGAAAACTTCTTAGATTTGTTCCGTGCAGACTACTTGCTGCTCAAAATTAGGGTGATGCTCTGATAAGACAGTGATGGTAGAAGAAAAAAAAGATAATGAGCCCCAGAAAGGAAATTCAGAGTTTCACCTGTTTTCAGGTCCTGCTCCACCTACATGGAGAAAGCAATGAAGGAAGGAAGCCTGATCACTGAGAGGGGAGAGTGGGGGTAAATAGTAGAAGAGCCTGGCAGGAGAGAGTATGAGAGGTAGGCCTGCGAGTCTGTACTAGCATAGATGTGGCATAGAGATTGTAGTGGAAGAATGAGGAGACTAATGCACAAAGGAACTATGTGCCCGGACTCAAATTTGAGGCAGTACAAACTTAGAACTGAGAAGATGGGATGTGTGGCACTGAACTATTATTAATTGTCCCTAGAAACTGTGGTGAACTTGAAGTGGGAAAGTAACTTCCATGTTTGCTTGGGAGTGCTAGGGAGCGGAGTAACTCAAAATGTTACTTATAGTATGAATTATTTACAGTGCTTTAAGAAATAGGAGGAACATTCTCCCCTACACCCCCCTACCACCGCCCCCCCCCCAGTATTACGGTACTTTAAAAGTGCATAGAAGTTCAGTTAGTCCACAGAGGTATAGCTTTTTGGGAGCCAATGGGAATACCAGTGACTTCCTACTTCTAACGCAGGCCTTTTGTGCGGCCTTTTGTCAAGGCCAGACCTGTATTTCCCTGCTTGTGAATGGATTTGTTGCACTGTACTCATTTTCTTTGTAATTTAAACTTGACCAGAGATAAGCTAAAGTCAAAGGTTAAACTGAAGTGATCCAGGTGAGTAATTAAGATGCTTTTTGAAGTAGCTCAAAGATAGTAGTTATGACATAGACTTTGTGTATGAAGCCAGCCTTGATAGTAAATATGCAAGATCCTGTACCACAATTTTCTTTTTTGTCTTAAGTGTCATTTTTTTAATGCATTTCAGGTATTTCTTTAAATCCAGAACAATGGAACCAGCTGAAGGAACAGATTTCTGATATTGATGATGCAGTAAGAAAACTTTAAAGAGAGCCATACAGAAACATGTATCACTTCAGTTGTTCTAAGCAGTCTTTTTGCATTGGCTTTAGTTTTCTAAAACATTGTTTTCCAAGCTATTGTATATTTGGATTGCAAAACAATTTGTAAGATGAATACTTTTTTTATGTGCATTAAAAGTGTATTTTGAGTGAGGCTATTTGTGTATACTTTACTAAAAGGAAACGTGTTGCATTTGCCTCATGATGTAAAATAAATAATATGCAAAGGATACTTGTTCATGGCCTTTTGATTGAAGGTATTTGCTGATAAGGCCACCTAATAGCTTTAGTCTTTATTTTAGTTTCAGTTTAGTTAGCAGTTTAGTTTGTTTTCTGAGGACATTTCTTAAAATGTCTCCATTTAAATTTTTCTTTTATTTCATACTCCATGGTATTGTCCTGACAGTTTTCTGCTCTAAGACTTGATACAAACAGCAAATACTTGGTAAAACACATTTTTGTAGATAATTTTCAATACGGTATTTGTTAATTTACCGTATTTATTCTGATGTAAACAGTCCTGAGTATAGACTTTTTGCATTACTTGCATGAAGTGTTATGCTAAACAATAACACTTGAACACAAGCCACATGCTGTTTCTTCTAATTCTTTCTCTAGCTTGCTTGACTTAGAAAATAAAATTAGCCTTTTTTCTTGGACCCTAGATTTTAGAATGTGATGCATAAACTTTTACAGTAATAGACATATACCTCAGAGTAAGATAGTATTGAAAAGCTCCAGATGTGGTTATTACGTACCCTTTTCAAGCTTTGCATTAGATCATTCTTGAACACACTAACTAGTCAGCTACAGAAAAGAACAGTTAACCTGTATTTGTTCATTTGAGTGTACTGCATAAACAAAGATGCTTAAACTAGGCTGTAACACAGGTTAACAGTTAAACAGTATTAAAACTTCCTCAGCCAAAATGGTCTGGCTACCATAGAATCATAGGACTGTTTGGGTTGGAAGGGACCTTAAATATCATCTACTTCCACCTGCCCTGCATGGTTGCTTTCCACTAGACCAGGTTGCTCTGTGCCCTTTCCAGCCTGGCTGTGAGCACTGCCAGGGATGGAGCATTCGCTCTGTCCATACTGCCTGCCCAAACCACTTACCTTGCTTTGTGTGGCTTACATGTACACAACTGGTTTATCTTTTGTACAGAAGATACTTGGCACTTACAGCGGAGCACTGGTGCATAGTGCATCATGACTATAGTGGACTTCGCTGTCAACCATTGTACTGTTCTGATGAGCTGCTGCCCAGTGGAAGCTCTGTTAGACCAGATGCTGCCCCATTTGAAGGGGCTTCTTGATAGCTGTCACAAACAATGGGATGAAGAAGGGAGAATATGATGTTTGAGTAGAACTTGGAGAGATAAGGGTACACCAGTACGGAAGTTAATAGTGAAAGATCAAAGTTAGCTGACATAATGCCTACAGTGAAGGCATGTACATAAGCATAATAGGAGGAGAGTTTATTTTCTGACTTAGTTCAGTTAATCGAAGGAAGAAGATGAATCCACTTCATAAGAACTGACATTTCAAGACTACGTAGTGAATGTACTACCTAATTGGTTTGGCTGTAATTTTCTCATTCAGTGTTAATGTAGTTTTCAAGTTTTGTACAGACAGAATTTAGTATTTAATTCTGGAATATCTTCATAGGATCGGTTTTATTGCAGTCATGCATGGATGTGCATACACAGACTGTTCCTGTGTTGCACAGTTTTAATCCAATGCAAATATTTGTTGAAGGGTGAGGAAGGGTGGCTTCATCAAATTAAATACATATTGTTAAGTTTAATATTATGTCAGATACCTCTGCCTGCTCTTTAACGTACCCGTTGTTGGCATATTGAAAGTTAAGATTGTTTTTTGTACAGCTCAGGAAATTTCGAGTTTTTAAGAACTGCTTAAGAGTGAATAAAAGGGTAAAGAGGCGTTTTGTGGGAGCAAATGCATTTTTGAGCACAACATTATTCTTTGAGTGTCTCTTAAATGTAGGGATCTTTGGACAAATAGAATAAATATGAAATATGCTAAAATTTCACAGATGAGTGAATGAAATAAATTCCTTCAGATCGCTATCAACAGGTTCTAGGTGTTTGCGGTATGTACGTATGATTTTTTTTTTTCTTTAAATCTGAAATTTTTTTAGCCAGGTTTCACCCATTTTACCTCAATACTTTCACATGACTACTCCAAAGCACATGATTATGTTAGAGGGAATGTTGTCCTCACTTTGATTGCTGTGGTAGCAGGTCATTGGATGCCAGCTGTCTATCAGAGAATATGATAGTGTTCAGGATGGTGGAGAATTAAATTCATTAATTTGAGTGGGAGTAAGTGAAAAGCTTTTAATATAGTGATTGGTAGTGATTCGTCATGAAATTGTCTAGGGCTGTAGTCTTTCTAATTTGAGAAGAAAATTCAGACTTTCTTGAATAAAGACTTCTCTTGCAGACAAAAGGGTAGTTAGGGACATGTAGAAGAAGATGGTGCATGTATGAAAAGGCTGTGTAATAAGAGATAAAAACACTGCTCCCTTTCCTATTAAGGTAGCAAAAGAAAGATGCATTTGGTTCTTGATATTTATGTGGGACATATTAGCAATATGTTTTACAAGTTAAACCTATTGTGGAGCTTAGGAGGGAAAATTCATCACAGTTAGAGCTGCCAAAGTACCATATGTGTGATATATCATGTACAATGTTGCTCTTATGTGGAGATGTTCATATTGAAATTAAACAAATGCAGTACTAAGTCTGATATTTCTGTTAAAGGAAATGATCCAGTTACATACTCTTTATGTGATCTGTTAGCAAAAAAATTGATTATTGTACTTCTGGTAACACACATGTCATTGTTAACCATGTGGAATGTTTCATGTTTTGCTCTGGTGGTATCTGCTGCAGAGAGGCCACTGGGAATATGAGCCCTCCAACTGTAATTACCTTAATGTTCAAATAAAAAAATAGTTAAATGGCATACATGTAATAACAACTTGAATGTGTGGAAATAAATGAAGACTTCCGTTGCCATAGTGTTATTATTAATAGACATTTAGCTGCACTAAAACTTATTTTTTCTTAAAGAAACTGTTGTGTATTTCTTGCAACTGCTGTCAATTTGCAAATTTGAAGACTTCGTTGTCTCGTACATGGTCTGTGTTTGTGGGTGGGGGAATTGATTGTGTAGCCTGGAGGGATAGAAGTTTTTCACTATGATAGTATGGCAAATGTCATGTAAATAATAAGAAGATGTAAACACACTTCCAAACATCAAACAGAAGGGAAGTGCCTAATAAATCGCTACTGTTAAGAAAATGGCTGATTATCTTTTTCAGTGGAATTTCTTTTTGATCTGACAGTAAATGTAACCATAGTTGAGATGGGGAAAAGCTTCTCACCCATTTATTTACTATCATTGGTAAGTTAGGTCAGTGTAGGCTTCTCTGGGAAGGGTATTTGTTTTTCACATGCATGCTGTGACTGGTTTGTACGGGAGTGGATTAACTAACTGTAGCCTTCAACTGAATGGATTTTTCTTCAAGTAATGTTGATAAGCAATTTATAGTCACAGAAGCAGAAATTACTGTGGCTCAAAGGGAAGAAATGGAGCGTTACCGTGTCCTACTTATTCCTTGTGTACTGCTGTCCACTTACTGATAGGATTCGCCTTTGTAGCTCTGGTGACTTCATGGAAAAGCAATCTGATAGGCAATTTTTCCTGTTGCGAAGCAAGCCTGTGTGTCCCCTGCTCTCAACTTGGTACTGTCATGTAAAAGTGTGAAGACATCTGCTGAAGAACTGAGATAAATGGTCCTTGGCTTAGTGGTGGTTTGTCAGGGAAGCTTAAATTGCTCTGTCTTGTGAGCAGAAGGACATGCCATTAGTCATGGGAATAATGGAAAGGCCTGGAACGGTGACAGCTGTTGCCTTGGTATTGTGCTTCATTTAACAAAAATGCCATAATTTTTCTGTTAAGATCTGCTTAACTAGGTTTTCATTATACTTTCTCACTTTTACTGGATCCTTATACTTAATCATGAATGGGATAGCAAATGAGGTAGGAGCTGAGGCTGGCTTGAGGACTCAAGTTTTTGGAAGGAGGTGTTCTCTCAGTCGTAAAGGTGAATAGAGTTTTCTGTGATGATTTGGAGAAATCTCTAGGAACTCGCCAACAAAGCTTAAGTTGACAAGCAGGGATTATTTATTGTGGCACCGGGGGACATGGGGGATAGCTCCTCCTAGTGTGTCTCCCCGAATTGCTAAACAAGCTGTCCTTACATAGTTGCTAAGCATACATAGTAATTATTTACATACATGCATATTCACGAGGATACTTATGAATTACATCATTTTTCAGAAAGTTCCCCGCATGCATACAAAAATGTGGTGGTGGTTTCTGAGGGTCGTTACTTCTTCTAACAATCTCCATCACTTCTGGCAGCCTTTGATGCATGTGCAGTGGATGTTTATACCAGCTTGATTGGTTCATTAACACCACAGTCATAGCAATCATCCTGTCTTTCTACTTGTCAGTTAATTTAGCTGCAGCCCATCCTGGACACCTGCTGTTCCCAGATACTCCCCATCCCCACCTCCTGTTTTACTGTCCTGTTTTTCTTACACTTATTTTGTAATAAGGTCATAAGGACCTGCAACTACGTCAACTACAGTGGTTTATCTTACACATTCTCAGTATGTTCTCTAGCCACACTCTTATTTTTTTTTCTTTCTGTGAATCGTGCGCCTCAGTTGATTTTCCATTGCTACTGTTACAAAGCTATCAATATTAGTTAAAACTGATTCTACTTATTTACAAAGGTTTCTATTTAATTTTGTGATTTTGTGCCTCATCTCAGTAAAAACTGCAAAAATTGGTGGAATGAACAGGCTGTTCTTGGAAATCTCTAGGTGTATTTGGTAAGGCTAAGTAAGAAATAAAGTTTATACCTCCTTGGCCACTCTTCCAGAGTTCAAGGATTCCAGGTTGAGAGAGAGAAGAGACACAGTGGATAAAAAACCCCAACTAGTTTATTACTACAGGAAAAGAGAGGGAGGAAGAGCCAGCAAAGGGTAAAAGAAACTGTGATGGATATTTTTGGTGAGTGCTTTTCTTAACCCCAAAGACCATGTGATGCCAGTGAGGAAACCAGCTCTGAGAGACATCATCGCATTGCGGTGTGCGAGGTGGCAGGCTCAACCTTAGCAGGCATCCCCGCAGAGGCAGCATTGGCCTGGGTGGTAGGAGGTTCTGCCTCCACACATTGCATGAGGCTTGGGCTTTTATGCTAGCAAAAATGCATACTTACTCCAACGTAGGGGGCCAGCCTACACCAGAAGGAGTGGCCAGTTATGGCTGTTTGCTGCAACTGCGCAGCTATTACAAAAGGGTCTCTATTCAGGGATTTCCAAAGCTGACTGCAGGACTTTTAGGGGATTTTTAGGAAGGAGCCACCAACGGACCATTACCTCGTGTGTCTTGCAACTGGTATAAGACTCCCTTTTGCTAACAGCGGTGTTAACTCAGCTATTTTCAAGGTTATGTTCTCATAACCCATGCGTAACAGTACTTTTCTGGTTTTGTGTGTTTCACCACGGACCATTATCTACTGTCACTGACACAGCTACTGTGCCTAGTAGTCTTCTGTTACCAATTCACAGAAGTTAATGAGATAAAAAACTTCTGAAGTAAAGAAATGGTAAGATTCCTACATAACCCTGTTACTTGTGTGTTATCTTAAGATCTCCTTCACACCTGAAGAGTTTAAATGATTCATACTTTTGCTAATGGGCTAAAGTGTCAGAATAATTTTCATGCCGTTGAAAACAAAGCCCATGACATTTTAAGACTAGAAAGACTCCGAAGTTGGGCTGTTCGCTGAGTCAACACACAGTATATCTCAGGGAGAGGTGAATGACACTGCATATTGACAACAAACTTGAGGCCTAAGATGTGACCCTAACAATTAACTGTTTGAAATTTGAAGTTAGGTGGTATGTAGCAATAAAACTTCGCTGTGTGTTTGTGGTGTTGATTTTTATGTAATCTTTGAAGCGTTTTGCCAGCTATCTCAACCTGAAATGGCTCTGCAGGGCTCTGCTGTTAAGTCTGCTTTTCATTTGCCATCTCTTACTGATATCTGCAGCTGCCTTTGCATTTTCTCTGCTATTTGTATTCTGACTGGAAATATCCTTCCATTCCTTGGAACACAAGAATCTCTAGCTGCATTCATGTTACTAGAGTATGAGGAATTGGATCCTGATTGTAGTTGGCAGATGAAGCTGCTGTTGCTAACACTGGCTAATTAATGGTAGTGGTTTTATATATATATTGGGTTTTTTTTCGGCATTGTGATAAAATATACTTAAAAGAGTTGGGTTACTCCAGCCGACATGATACTTCCCAAAGGAAATAATTTTCCTCATACTAGCTTGGATTATTGTCTGCAATGAAAGAACTGGTGAAATGCTTTTTCCCCTGAAGTGAATTATTAACAACTCAGAAAATAGCTGCAATGAGACTATTCTCAGGTTAAAATGAAAAGAGTTTTCACCTGGATTTCTGCTTGCCATAAACAGTGGTATTTGTAGTTGCGATTGTTTGGTAATGGAAAGAAAAGACAGTTGCCTGGGGAGCCTGAAAAGTTCCTACAGTGCCGTGTAGGACATGAACAGCATTCTGATGAAATCGTAAATGCTCCTGTCTATTCAAAGAAAAATTTGGACAGCGTTAATTTGCAGTATGCTTGTCCCTACATATACAATACTTTTCACCCTCCTTTTTTTTTCTAGAGAGATTTTTTGGTGTATGTTGTAGGCCTGTTTCAGTAGTGGGAGAGCTAATCACTCTTGAGTCACTCCTCTGTGTAGGGAAAGTGTGTATCGTTTCCCTGTTTCCATTCACCATCTGTTATGCAACTATTCCGTAATAATGTGCCTTTCATCCATCAAAACATTTTGTAGTAACCTGTGGAAAATGTTTGTGGCTTACTTGTTAAAACATTTTTGAACAAACATTGTGGGGTTTGGGGTCAGGTTTTTGTAACCTGTTACCTAGGCATTTTCTTGGTACCTCCTATAAATTAGTTCATGCCTTGGTATTTTAATTTTATGGTACTGTTTTGCAGGAAATCAAAATGATTTTTTTTTTGTCTCTGATCATTAAGGAGTTTTGCAACTCCCTTTTTAACATGGTCCAGTTGCAGCTTTTGAAAATGAACTTGCAAAGATTATGCATGGCTGCATTTCTTACTAGATTTTGTTAGATTCCTAGGTTGTTATCTGCCTGAGTCTGTTTGCTCTTTAGTCTGAATGACTTGAAAAGAGAGAGCTGCCTGTTAACACTACAGAATTGCAAGCTTGCAATGTGCCACATGAAAAAGTGAAGAGAAGGAAAAGTGCAGCTGAAGTGAGTTGTTTTCTGAACTTTTTCAGGACATATTCTAGAAACAGTATTTTTCTCACTTTGAAAGCAAACACTAAACTCCAGACTGTTAAAAAACACAGAACTGCTATTCAAATGCAGGTTCGCCAGGCATATCCTTTTTTATGTAATATTTTGGTAAATGTTATAGCAATGTTTGTTTGTTGTTTTTTTTTTAGAAATCTGCCTAGATAAACACTGTGCTTGGCACCAGAGAACTTTTAAAGCTAACTGTATCTATACCAATATATAGTTTTTAAGTGGTTTATTTATGGTTTTGATGCATGAAAGCATTCATTTTAACTGAATAGGTAAATTTCTGTGAAGCTTTGCGAGAACTTCGGAGCCTTCCACAGATGGAAGGTGAAGGAAGAGACCTGTTGACTTATTATGTGGCAGTTCTGGAACAAAGGGGCTCCTCTGTGCTTTGGGCAATGAGTTTGATCTGCTTTAGGTCAGTATTGCCTTGGAACTTTGGCATCAGCAGTCTGCCATGTTATTGAAGAGCACAACTGACTTTTTTTTTTTTTTTTTAGCATTCTTGGTGTATTCTACTGGAATCAGATTTGGATGGATACTTAGCTTTATTAATGGAAGATTTGATTTT